GAAATAGCCTTTGTGCACAGCCAGCCTTGTACTCTTCTAGGTTAAAAAAACTGTCGTCCATAAAATGCGTTGCACAAATTCAAACATCTGGGTTGTGCTGTTCTGTTGTAAATAAATCTAGATTCCTAATTGCGTCTACTTCCGGTACGCCAAATAAAGTGCTTTTGCTTTCCCACTGAAACACACAGCTCTCCCTGACATGCTGCATCAACACTACTGCTGTTCCTGAAACCACGCCTTCTTTCTTTGCGTGAACATTTGGGCGGCATTATGCTAATAGTTCCACATAGTGATGTAGACATGTGGGGATCTCTAGTGGAGCTGTGCCGTGTCTGGAGAATGCTGTGATTGCCATGGCAATGATTGAGAATCAAGCTGCGGTGAAGGAGGGGCTTGAGGTGTACCAGAGTGGAATGGAGAAACTGAAGAACTCCTTCCCTCTGGAGTTAAAGCTTGTGTCCTCGGAACACCAACGTCTCAGTGGCATGGCAACACAAACCTTCATGACTCGATCTTTCAGGGACACTGACGGGAAGCACCTGAAATCTATAGAGGTTAGCTGGAGCTCTCTCTGAGAAGGTCCTTTGAGCTTACCGATGTTCTTTCAGAGTAGTGAATGAGATCTGGACATTCTCCCTGATTCCATCTTCTCATATACTGTATGTCATTCTGTGCTGACAGTGTTATTCCAAATAAACAAGTCAGACCAAATAGCAAGCCCTAAGTCACCAAAGAACTGAAACGCTGTCTGTATGTTTTTTTTAGGAAAAAGTTAATGAACTCTTTGATGGATACCTGTGCCAAAATGAGCAAGCATCTAAGAAAAGATGCGAGGATCTCCTGTCATCCCTCTCAGCAACAATGACTGAAAAACTCAAACAGGGCGTCTATGCTCAATCTGGTGGCTATGATCTCTTCTGCAAGGATCTGGAGGACATTGTGAAGAAATACAACAGCCAGACCAATAAAGAAGTCAAGGTCTTTTCTATATCGCACAACTTCATGACATTTTAAAACATTTTGTTCTGATATAGCTTCTAAGGTCTGTGTGTGTCAACAGGCTGAAGCGGTCTTCAAGGTGTTTCTGAAGCAGAAGTCTGTGGATTCTAAAGCTATTCTGCAGGCTGACAAAAAACTGACTGAGAAGGAAAAAAAGATTAAAAGTAAGAGTTCCGCATTCTTAAATTCTGACCAGGTTACTTTTGAAAGAAGTGCTCAAAGGTTTAGGTACTTGTTTAGGTGATAAGCTTCAAATGCAATAAATAGCACTAACAAGTAGCAATAAATGGTGTAAGTTTCAAGGGTTAGGGTTAGGGTTAGGATGATGCGACACCCCTGGTGGAGTGAGCACGCAGCCTGAGCAGGCAGGGCACGCCTTGTGCTTCATAGGCCAAGGTGATGGCATCCACTATCCAGTGGGCCATCCTCTTCTTGGAGCCAGCTTTCCCCTTCTGCTGTCCACCGTAACAGAACTCTAGTTTTAGGACCTCAGAACAGCTCTTGTCTATCTACGTACGGCCGCAGTGTGCATACAGGACAGAGCAAAGCTAGGCTGGGTCTGCCTCCTCCAGGGGCAGCGCTAGCAGGTTCACTAGCTGGTCCCTGAAGGGAGTAGTAGGAACCTTGGGCACGTAGCCGGGCCGGGGTCTCAGTGTTGCACTGGAATCAGCCGGCCCAAACTCAAGGCACGATTTGTTGACCGAAAATGCCTGCAGGTCCCCCACCCTCTTGATCGAGGCCAATGCAGTCAGGAGCAGGGTTTTCATAGAAAGAAACTTCAACTCGACTGACTGCAAAGGCTCGAAGGGGGCAGTTTGTAGGGCTTTTAGCACCAATGCCAAATCCCAAGAGGGTAGGGAGGGAGGCCTAGGAGGATTTAACCTCCCGGCCCCCCTAAGAAACCTAACGATCAGATCATGCTTCCCCACCGACCTCCCCTCTATGGGATCGTGCTGGGCTGAAATAGCAGCAAAGTAAACCTTATTCAGGGTGGAGGGGGACAGCCTACGCTCCAAACCTTGTTGCAAGAAGAGTAGCACGGCTCTAATCGAACATCTCCGGGGGTCCTCCCGTTGGGAGGAACACCATTCGATGAACAGGTTCCACTTCAGCGCATAGGCCTGTCTCATGGACGGAGCACGCGCTGAAGCGATAGTGAGAGCTACCTCCTGGGGTAGGTCACTTAGAATCTCTGCATCCCATCTGCATCCCATCCAGGGACCACACATGGAGTTTCCACAGGTCTGGACGCGGGTTCCAAGGGGTGCCCCGTCTCTGAGAAAGCAGATCCTTCCCCAGAGGAATTGGCCAGGGAGGGGCTGTCGCGAGGAGCATAAGTTCCGGGAACCAGGTCCTGTTGGGCCAATATGGAGCCACTAACAAGACCTGCTCCACGTCCTCCCTGATCTTGCACAGTGTCTGTGCGAGCAGGCTCACTGGGGGGAACGCATATTTGCACAGGCCCCGGGGCCAGCTGTGTGCCTGTGCGTCCATGCCGAGCGTTGCCTCGGTTAGGGAGTAGAACACCTGGCAATGGGTGGTTTCTGGAGATGCAAACAGGTCTACCTGAGCAACTCCGAACCATCTCCAGATCAGCTGAACCGCCTGGGGGTGGAGTCTCCACTCTCCTGGAAGTACTGCTCGAAACAGCTCGTCAGCTGCCTGATTGAACACACCCAGGATGTGGATGGGGCCGGGGTCTCAGTGTTGCACTGGAATCAGCCGGCCCAAACTCAAGGCACGATTTGTTGACCGAAAATGCCTGCAGGTCCCCCACCCTCTTGATCGAGGCCAATGCAGTCAGGAGCAGGGTTTTCATAGAAAGAAACTTCAACTCGACTGACTGCAAAGGCTCGAAGGGGGCAGTTTGTAGGGCTTTTAGCACCAATGCCAAATCCCAAGAGGGTAGGGAGGGAGGCCTAGGAGGATTTAACCTCCCGGCCCCCCTAAGAAACCTAACGATCAGATCATGCTTCCCCACCGACCTCCCCTCTATGGGATCGTGCTGGGCTGAAATAGCAGCAAAGTAAACCTTATTCAGGGTGGAGGGGGACAGCCTACGCTCCAAACCTTGTTGCAAGAAGAGTAGCACGGCTCTAATCGAACATCTCCGGGGGTCCTCCCGTTGGGAGGAACACCATTCGATGAACAGGTTCCACTTCAGCGCATAGGCCTGTCTCATGGACGGAGCACGCGCTGAAGCGATAGTGAGAGCTACCTCCTGGGGTAGGTCACTTAGAATCTCTGCATCCCATCTGCATCCCATCCAGGGACCACACATGGAGTTTCCACAGGTCTGGACGCGGGTTCCAAGGGGTGCCCCGTCTCTGAGAAAGCAGATCCTTCCCCAGAGGAATTGGCCAGGGAGGGGCTGTCGCGAGGAGCATAAGTTCCGGGAACCAGGTCCTGTTGGGCCAATATGGAGCCACTAACAAGACCTGCTCCACGTCCTCCCTGATCTTGCACAGTGTCTGTGCGAGCAGGCTCACTGGGGGGAACGCATATTTGCACAGGCCCCGGGGCCAGCTGTGTGCCTGTGCGTCCATGCCGAGCGTTGCCTCGGTTAGGGAGTAGAACACCTGGCAATGGGTGGTTTCTGGAGATGCAAACAGGTCTACCTGAGCAACTCCGAACCATCTCCAGATCAGCTGAACCGCCTGGGGGTGGAGTCTCCACTCTCCTGGAAGTACTGCTCGAAACAGCTCGTCAGCTGCCTGATTGAACACACCCAGGATGTGGATGGCACGAAGGGATCTCAGATCCTTCTGACTCTAGAGGAGGAGGTGGCGGGCGAGCGAGTTGTGACATGCAATGGGAGCGTAAACCGCCTTGCCGGTTGATATACGCAACGGGTCGCAGTGTCTGTGTGGACCAGAACGTCCCTGCCCTGAAGGCGCCCTCTGAGGCAGCTCAGGGCAAGGCATACTGCTAGCAACTCAAGGCAATTGATATGCCAACGCAGTTGGGAACCCGTCCAAACCCCTGACACTGCGTGCCCATTATACGTGCCCCCCCCCAGCCGGTGGCCGAGGCATCCGTGAATACTACAGCATGCCTGGATAACTGTTTCAGGGGCACTCCTGCCCAAAGAAATGAGGGATCTGACCATGGGCTGAAGGTTCTGCGGCAGGCCAGTGTAATCTGAACCTGGTGAGTACCGCATCACCACGCCCACCTCAGAACTCGGCCATGGAGCCAGTGCTGAAGTGGTCTCATATGGAGCAGACCAAGTGGAACTACCACTGCAGCTGCAGCCATATGCCCCAGGAGCCTCCGAAAGAATTTTAGTGGGACCGCCGTCCTGCCTGATAGTCTTGAGGCAGTTCAGCACCGACTGAGCACATTCCTGGGTGAGGCGTGCTGTCTGGCTGACCGAATCCAACTCCATGCCGAGAAAAGAGATCCTCTGTGTTAGCACGAGTTTGCTCTTTTCTCAGTTGACCTGAAGACCCAACTGGCTGAGGTGCCCGAAGGGCAGGAACTTAGATACTTGGTGATCAGGTACTGATCATGGTGTACTGACTTGCCCAACCTTCGAACGTGAACCTCAGGAATGGCCTGTGCCGCGGGAGGATCGAGCCATGAAAGTACATGTCCTTCAGGTCGATCACTGCAAACCAATCTTGGGGACAGATGCACTCGAAAATGCATTATTGCGTCAACATCTTGAACGGCAGCATGTGAAGTGCACGGTCCAAAGGGAGGGACCGGCTCTATCGCAACCTTCACCAGCAGGACTGCGATTTCCGCACGCAAGACAGGGGCATCGGCAGCCTTGACTGAAGTAAACCGGTTGCCCCTGAACTTGGGGGGACGCCGGGCGAACTGAATTGCGTAGCAGAGTCTGATGGTCCGCAGGAGCCACCGAGACGGACTGGGGAGCGCTAACCAGGCTCCGAGAGACAGTGCCAGAGGAACCAACGGAGCCACCGATGTACCCACAATGGGGCAGCGTGGTGGAACACAGGGACTCGGACCGAGGCCTGTGACGGCATGGCCCGTGACGGCAGAGGGTGGAGTCTGGGTGTGAAATGTAACACTCACCTGATTCCTCCGTGTGCGGGAGAAAACACAGGGTCCCGGCTTGAGGCTTGTGACAGCCCGGTGTGTGATGACATGAAGCAGGGACTTGAATGCTACAGCCCTTACCTGGTTCCACTAATGCGCAGGAGGGGTGCTCTTGGGCAACCCACTGCTGCCTGTTGGCGAGAGAGTAGGGAAGTGACCCTGTGATGCACAATTCACAACTCTCTTCCTCTTGAGACCCAGAGACTGAGGAAACCGCTCTTTTATTGCTTAAGTTTTGGGTACCACTGGCTGCTGGACCAACGGTGGAAAACAAAAACAAAACGAAACAAAAGATTCTTCACCCGGCCCTAATCCAGGGGAGGGAGTGGTGCAGTCACTATCTCCCGACGAGCAGTCTCCTCCTTCTCCGGGTCACCCGTCCCAGGGCCTCTTGCACTTGCGCTAACCACCGGGTTTGGCGGGGGCCTGGACGGGCTGGGCGTCCTGCCTGTGACCGGCTCCACGACGCTGCCTGGTGGAAGGCTGCTGCTGCTGCGTGGGAGCAGGGGCAGCCGCAGGGGGGCGCCCACGGCGACGAGCAGGCTGAGGGGCTGCAGCCGGGGTAAAAGCAGCAGGTTTCCTCCAGCGCAGGATGTGTTTGAACGTATGGCCTGATGGACCTGCAGTAACGCCATGGTGTGAAGGGCAGAAGCCGCCTCCCCACAAGCTCTGTAAGCACTGTCAGTTAGACCTGACGAATACCTACAGGCCTGTGAGGGGAGACACGGGTCACACCGCAAAGTGGAAGCGGCTGTTGGACACACTTGCATGGCAACAGACCACTCCACCAAGGGAATGCCCGTGTACCCCAAAGCGGTTCCACCAACGAGTGGTGAGAGCGGAGGAACTACAAGATTTGTCTCGGGCAGTAAAAGGTGCCTTCCACGATCTTGTAAGCTCCTCATGCACCGGAGGGGGGCGCTGAGAACCAGCGCGACCTCCACCGAGAAACCCCTCGTCCAGCCTCAAAGAATCAGGACGCGGTGGAGAATTCCACATGAGCCCGACATTCTCGGCGGCCCGGGAAAGCATAGCCGTCATCTCTGAGTCTGGCTAAGACAACGCTGTCACACCCGAAGGGTGCAACGCAGCCGGGTCGTCATACCCAGAGAGAGAGAGCTCGCCCTCCGATTCAGCAATTGACATCTGGTCTCGGGCGGGCGAAACGAAGGAAACGGCCGGTTCCCCCCACAGTGTGGAGGGGCCAGCATGTCCCTCCGACTGCTCCACCGGCTGGGGAGTGCTTGAGGGGTGACAAACTCCCTCTGGGGAAGCCTTCACTGTGATCCTCAAATCACCTCTGACTCCACCAGACTCAGCGCCACCCCAATTGCTGAGACGAACACTGGATCAAGGCAGAGGGACCCCACCACATTTGATGTAATGGAGTCTTTCGTGCAACTCCGAGATGGACATGTCCCCACAAAAAGAACATGCACCATCCACAAACGCCCGCTCAGCGTGCTCAATGCCCAGTCACGTGAGACAGCGATCGTGACCGTCCCGAGGCACCAAATAGCGACCGCACCCAGAAACGCACAGGTGATAAGACATCTTTAAAAAGACGCGATCACCTGTGTTGCTCTTTTAGAGATATGCTCTTTTGTGCATGCAGAGGAACTGGCCACCGCACACTCCTGGTGTGGCTGTCTGCATGAAGATGATTTTCTGTTCTCGCCGTGCAATCGTGATCACCACTGCCGTGCCGTAACACACGCACTCGCTGGCTCTCTGCTTTGCAACACCGAAGTAGAGAGCAGTAGTGATGCACTACCGCTCGGCTCCGAAGCGAAAGGATGAATGAATGCGGTGCACCTGCTGCCTCTTATACTCACACTGTGATTAGCGGCAGCTGGATGCAATAATCGCATGCCAATGTGCATTGGCTCGTTTAGTTTACCTTCAAAGTGGATTGGTCTCTCTGGCGAGATCCCAGTTCGTCGGTCATCACCGACGTGACGTCGAGAGTGACCGACTGCAAGGGAACAGTGTGATTCAGGCCAATACCTGTAACTCTTCAGGCTCTATTTTAATGGTTCTAAATCAGGTGTAACTTAGTTGTCGGGCCAGAACCTAAATGTTACATTCAGTATGTTATTAACTTAACAAAGTGCTCCATAGATGAAAACAAAGTCTTTCACAGAAGTGTAATGAATAATTTAAAATATTTTACCTTGCAGTTTATATCGGCCTTACAATAAAATAGACCGTTAATATAAAGGTTTGAGTCTTTTCTCTATCTGTAAAGCATCTCTTTCTTTCCTTCTTTTTGTCAATGACCAGAGGAAACAGAGAAAGCCGTACTCCTGGCGCAGGAAATCAAAGCTAAAGAGGAGGAGCAGCGACAGTTACTAGAGAAGATGGAAGCAGAAAGACAGAGTAATGAAGAGAGGATGAAACAGATGAAGGCAAAGATGGATGAGGAGATGAGGCTTCAGAGAGAGGAGGCCGAGCGTGCCATGGACAGCAATCTAAGGGAGCAGGCCACTCTGCTGGAGAAGGGCTTTCAGGAGAAGGCTGAGAGGATGAGCCAGGAGATAGAAGAGTCCAAGAGACAGAACGCTGAAGCTGAGAGTAATAGAGCTCGAGAGTTTGCAGAGCTGTTGGAGAACTCCAATAAGAGACATGAAGAGTCTATGGCTATGATGATGCAGCAGCACCGTGAACAGATGAAGGCTTTACAGCAGCAGATGAGTGCGCTCCCTTTGGGTGGATGTTGCATCTTGTGAAATGCATTAAGAGGCATGTAATTGTACAATGAAATTTACTTGCTGAAAAATGATTCTGTACCTCTACATATAACAGCATTGAAAGTATTGTTTCCATATACCGTTAAACTACAATTAAACTGAGTGCTATCATTATTCAGATAAGTAATTGACCCTTCGCAAAGACCCACCCCCTTAGTTACCATTTTGTGTCTCTTTAATGTGTTAAAGCACATGAACCAACCATATCTTCCTTTTTACTAGTTATAACACAAAATAAATATGCATGAACATCATAAGGTATTTTGTATCTCATTTCAACCACAGAGATACACACCATTTTTCAAGTTAAAGTCCACTGAAGTTAATCTACTCTCCTTTCTGGTTTGACAGACAAAATTGCAGATTCTGCGTTATGATTGGTCAGATCCCCTGTCAATCAAACTCCCGGGGAAGGGTGAATTGAGACAAATAATGAGTCAATTACACATTATATCACGTTTGGTCTTGTTCTGTATCGCGTATATTGTCGGTGTCTGCGCTTGCTTGGCCATTTTTTGTGGAAAAAATAAGGAAAGTGTGTTTACATATATATATATATATGTATGTGTGTGTGGTTGTAATGTTAGAATCATTATTATACTCTTATACCTTTTGTTCTTTAATATTTTGAATTGTTTTTAGCTTTATTTTTAATTTAAATGTTAAGTTTTGAAATTTTGTTGTATGCAATTTATTTAATCTCTTTATTTTTAAAATGTGTATAAGTAGTATTTATAAAGTTTTGGATCTGTTTTTAGTTGTTTTAATACTACAGTTGATTGCTTCTGTTGTCTTCATTTGTAAGTTTGGATAAAAGCGTCTGATAAATGACTAAATAAAAAAATTAAGATTCTCATTTTCATTGTTCATCTTTTCACTGAATCTGACGTCTGTATACTCCACTGAACTATAAAAATAATGACGTCAAGGGAAATCGTCAAAATATGCAAGTTTGCAAGTGCAAACTATCAGCCCTTTAGGCTCAAAATGTAGGAAAGAGGAGGCTATTGTGCATAGGCTGATTAACTATATGGACAACTGGGCAAGTTTTCAGGGGGGTACAATGCAAACTGTTTCTCCAAGACAAGCGATGCATTTACAATCATCTTTCTTTGAATGATTTCCCAAAAGTTCCCTCCCGCTCCAGGTAATATCTGCTCAATCCCCGGATCCATGCATTCTGTGCAAGCAAAGCATTTTCATTTTGAACAGATTAATGCATTCACGCTGGGAGCATGCAGTGCTGTGACGTGTCCCATTCAGAGAAACACCACTCTCATGGATGTGTGAATCCACTACAGAGCATCAGCAGTGAACTTTCATGTAGACAGTGGCACACAAGAAGGGGCAGAGAGAATTGAGTATGTTTTTACCTTAATTTTCAGTTCAAAACATCACAAAATTACATAGCTATCCACCTTTTTTCAACACAGAAGCTCTTTTCTTTGAATGTGAGAGACTTCAAATTCATTAGCTGCTAATTACCTTTTTCCTAATGAGGCTACTGCATTTTAAATTATGGGAGGCACTTCCGGTTTGGGGAAGTTCCCCTCAAAAGACTGAAACAAATCATTTCAAAACCATAAGGGTGTGCTACACATAAGTACAGTAAATGGTACAACTATTTGTGCTTCAAACCAGTGTGTTCATAACTATGACAACACATTTAAAGTAATATGCTAAAAATACTAGTTTCCAGTATGAAGTAGTATAACAAGCTGTTTTGAACCACTACAAATAAATGGAACCTTCAAGTTACAATAGTCGTGCCGCTGTTACATAAAAAATTAAGGTGGATAGAGTAATAGCTGTTTATTGCACACAAGGCCATGTAGTTTTGGAGAACAAAACATACTTGTCTATTTTTTTCACTTCTTTTGAAGGGAGCAAAACATTTGAAAATTATTTTGTTAATTTAATATAAGCGAATGAGCTGAGGACAACAATGACTCAAAAAAGACTACCCACATTTTGTTTGTTGGCCATGGATCTGAAATGGTTAACAGTTTGGATATTCAGGATGTGAATAACCCATTTTTACTGTAATATTAAATGGGACCTATTATGCCCCTTTTTACAAGATGTAATAAAACTCTCAAGTGTCCCCAGAATGTGTCTGTGACGTTTCAGCTCAAAATACTCCACAGATCATTTATTGTATAATTTTGAAAGTGCCTATTTTGAGTGGAAGCAGAAACAGGCTGTTTACGTGCCTGTCTCTTTATATGCAAATGAGCTGCTGCTCCCCGCCCCCTTTTCCAGGTTTTGATTATCATGTCTGTCACAGTCATGGTCACGTGACATTGCAGGACATCATGAAAGTTTATTATTTGCATGCGTTTTAAAGCCATGTAACTTCTGATATAGGGTTTTCTCAACGCACACATCTAAAGCACACGCACAGAAAGCTGGCTGTCAGACTGTCAGTACTAAACTATGTTCTCTTTCATGTCTTATTGTGCTTAAACTTTCAAATACACACAAAGTTCACATAAACTCAGTCAGACATACATCTGTGAACTGAACAGCTGGGAAAGAAATCACATATGTGTAGCCTATATTAGATCTGTGTGTGACAGCAGCGTCATATACAGTACCTACTGCTGTCTACACTGTTAATTTGATCCAAGCGATAAAATAAAATCATAAAATCACTCACTGCTCTTAACTGAATAACAATTATAGCTTTAATGAGAAGACATTTCTTACTCGAATGCTGCTTTTAAATGCTCTAGAATGAAGATAAACATGGCAGATTGTGTGCGGCTCACTCAGGGCAGGGTCTCTGCTAATACAGCAGTGTCTGTCAACAGTCATGGGTGGGGACTGTATAATGTGATGGGGGGCATTGAAAGTGTCAGTTTTCAGGGACACCAAAGAGTCTCAATCTGGCCCTGCTAATGAGAGGCGCTTTGATGAAAAACTAGAACTAGATTGCATTGGGTGCACCATTAATTCATCACAGCTCGCTCTTATATGACTCAGCTCTCTCTATGTCTCTGTTCTGTGCTGTAACCTTAAGTGTAAAAGAAGCAAGCTATTAGGGTAACACTTTAGATTATAACCCGCAAAGAACTACGTAAGTATACTGAATTTACGGTGTACGTTTCTGTAATTATAGTGTACCTACAAAGAACGTACGTGTAGGTATAAGGGAACAATGTGTTACGTTTGGGTAATAAGGGGGTAACAACCAGATATGCAACCTGCAAAGAACTGTGTACCTCCGTGTAGGCATAAGGGAATAATATGCAAAGTTTGGGGAATAAAGGGGTAACAACCTGTAAAATTACGAAATATTTATACTGTAAGTATTTTGAAAATAAGAGATACTTATTCTAATATTACCTGGTATGTATGGCCTAAACAACAATCTTATGTTTGGGAATGATTTAGAAAGACAACATATACTTTATATAATTTTATATTGGTATTTTATTATAGGCGTATAGGTATTTTTTAACCATGGGGTACACATTCTATTATTAAAGGATGGACATGATGGAGATTACTGAACAACAAAACTAGACATCTAGTGAAATGAGTTAATGAGTTTCTGCTATGATTTATAATTCACGAGTCTGCTTACCTTATGAAAGCTTATTCGTCGATTTCATCAACTTCACACAAGCAACTTCTCAACACCACTATCACCAAATAACTTTGCATGATATATATACCTTCAAGGTTCAATGCAGCTTAAAACAAGCTTACATCTTTCCAGCTGTTCGCAGAAAAAATTACATGATACAACATTTGTATTTCAGTGGATGTATACTGTGGTATTTTTATAGCAAAAAAAAGTAGAGGGTTTAATTTGGCCATTGAACAATTAAATTAAAACTAGTGCAATATTTTTCTCTGTAATTACTGTGCAAATATACACATGTTCTGTGTTTAATTCCAACTTGTTCCCGCCAGGTGGACTGTTTTATTTAATTCAAATATTGTTTGCAATTTACTATAGGCCTACTGCTGGGTTAAATTAACCCAAAATGGGTTTTAAAATTAAAATCACACACAATATGACAACAGTAACAACACAGGCAACAGATAGCCTAATAAAAGATTAAAATGTATTACACCAGTTCAGAAAAATCAAAGCAACTCCATACTTATTCAGATTATACAGTTAAACCAAATTCTTTTCAAAAGCTTGTTTAAGAGTAAATAGATTTTGTTCAATGTGTTCATGTTTTTCACCCACTGACGAAGTTAAACTATTATGGCCAAACCATCACGCCAATAAACACAGTAATAAACACTGAAAGTCAAGATTAAACTGTATTATAGCGAACTGACAGGATTTTACAGTCTTTGATTTATCGTTTTGATCCACATCCTTAAGCATCATTTTGACTAACATATTTCAGTTCCCGGTTTTACCGCTCATTAGTCGCTGCTCAATGTTGTGAGAACATACTCGGACAAAACCCTCCAGTTTTAAAAGAACACATTCCAGTCAGTTTCAAAAATCTCTCTCCTCTTCGTGTCGATTAGTTTTCTCTTATTTTCCACACATGTTCCCGTCTTAAGCACCGCAGTCATGGATTTCGTCACACACAGAACCGTTCACTTTTGAACAGTCAGTTTCAAAAATCTCTCTCCTCTTCGTGTCGATTAGTTTTCTCTTATTTTCCACACATGTTCCCGTCTTAAGCACCGCAGTCATGGATTTCGTCACACACAGAACCGTTCACTTTTGAACACACGTGACTTGCTGCATGCTCTCATTCACGTCCTCCACATTCATAACCCAGCACCGTCGGGTTACATATTAATGATGTCAACCCAAATTGGGTCAAATCAATCCAGCTTCCTAACCCTACAGTCTTAACCGAGCGTTTGGACTGAAACAATTACCAACTTGTTTTATATGTGTAGGCTATAAAAAAGTGCACAGTGTATGTTTTTGCTAAATCGCTTGCAAATATAAGATTTTTGTTAGGTCATACATACCATGTAATATTAGAATAGGTACCCCTTAGTTTCAAAATACTTACAGTAGAAATAATTTGTAATTTTATAGATTATTACTCCTTTATTCCCCAAACTTCGCATATTGTTCCCTTATACCTGCACGGAGGTACTGAATAGGTACATTGCGGGTTGTAATCTAAAGCGTTACCGCTATGAGTAGTTATTGTGCTGAAAAAGGTATAAATGCACATCACTGGATATTAAATCAGGTGTGAATGTTGTCAAAGTAACTACTGAACTATTGAAGTTTTTTATAGGACAACCACATTCTACAACTTGTTTTCATTCTGACATTCTACAACCACTGCAGTCGCATCTTGCTTTTTTGCAGTGTCACAGGCTTGACACATTGTTCTAAAACACGGCGCAGAAGTTAGAAGTTCAACACATCTCTAGAACTTTCGTTTTATTTTTCAATCCACTGTCATGTGAAGGCTATTGTTATGAGCCAAATGCAGATTCGTCACGCAACAAATTCTTACAACAATGAGAATTAAGGAAGGTGTAAAAAGGTTGATTGGATTTATTCATTTATATAAAAATAACTTCAAAATGT